GGGGGGGGGGGGGGGTCCCATCTCTCCCCACCCTTTCTAACATCCACGTCATGCACAGCTGAGCTCCGCACTCCCGCTGCCCCCTGTACATGGGCTCCACACTCCCACCTGCCCCAGCCCCGTGCTCTGCACTCCCGCTAGGCTGTAACCCCTTTCCCCACCCCACAACTGCTTCCCTGCTGGGAACAAGCAGGATGCCAGGGAAGCTGAGCAGGTCCCTTGGAGGCTACAACAGTGGCAGAAGCAGCCCTACCCAGAAACTGTGTGCTAGCTGGGCAGGCCCTTCCACCCAGAAGGTTGGAAGTGAGGTGTGCGAGATGGCCAGGGTACAAATTAGTTGGTGGACACCCACAGGCTGGATCAAATTGCATGGCAGGCCAGATCCAGTCCGTGGGCTGTGTTTTGCCCTCCCCTGCTCTACAGGGTGCAATGCACTGCTGTTTAGCAATGCGAGACAGAGCTGGAGTATCAGATTCAGTATGGCCACAGTAGCTCAGCTGAAGTATCAGGTTAAGAAACTCTGCTTCCTGACAGGGCTAATTAATCCAAAGAGGATGATGCAGTAACCTGGCTAAACAGTTTCTGGTACCCTAACCTGCTCTTTTATGTTTACACAATTCTAATTTGTGCCATGTAGAGATATATACACACACAAAGAAAATCCTTGACACCAAGAACTCACATAAGCTAAAACAGAAGGGAAGAAAAAAAACCCACCAAGATCTAGCTGAAGAACAAATACAGTATTATTTTTCCTCTGGTGTTTTGTAGCCTTATATATCGAATACATATGTGAATACATAATTTAGATGTAAAGTCAATGGGGAAAGGCTTGAAATACTGCACTATGGCAGGTGTATATCACTTGTATATGAAAAGGAGTTGGAAGAAAAACTAGTTTTATCCCCCACCCCTTCTCGGAGTTGACATTTTAATTACTGTTCTTTTCAGTTCTGTATCTTTCAAGAGAAGTACACATTTTAATGAAATGTAGATTATAAAGGAGTGTCATTCTGTTTGAAGCATCAGATTTGAAAGACAAAAAGAGTAGCCTTACAGTAAAGCAGAACCTTCTCCAATCAGTCAGTATGTTTAGTAAAATCACTGAATGACAGCTCCACTGACTAAAATCCTCGAAACAAAGTGCATACAGTAACACTGCAAGCATCTTCACATTATCCTGACGCTTTGTTCCATAAGAGGCTAGAGACACAAGATCTCTAGGGACAAACCAGTGGTTCAGTCTGTAGAAAGAGTCCATCCTTAACAGGTCTGCAGTGACGGTTAATAATTATTATGCTATGGTAGGGTTGCTGGGTTATTTTGAGGGGGGGGGGGGTTCCTTCTGATGTACTTGCTGTTCACTGAAACTGGGGCTCATACCACAGAAGCTACTTTGCAGCTGTCAGATGGTAGAGACTCAGTTATAGTAATGCATAACTCTTAAAAGTCTTTAAATAGAAAGCATTATAATAGAGATTTCTTATATCACTTTAATTTTGCATGGCTGCCTGTTCTTAAAATTAAATTTAACACTAATGAAGCAGGATTTTTCCATATGGCGCATATAATCTGCAGGCATTTATTTCCCATTTCATTTTTAATTATGTTAAACTTCAGAAAATCAATTTTATTTCCTTGTATTTTTTCATTCAAACACCCAAATTTGACACCCAATTCCATGCCAGAAAAACTTAAAAAAAAAAAAGAGAGAGAGAAGGGAGATGCAATAAATACAATTTTGGGAGAGGCAGGTCTGTTGAGAAGATTGTAAAGGGCTACCCTTGCGGTCCTTAACAGCTTACCAAGACTCATTAAGTGGCCCTCCAGCCAAAATAATTGCCTGTCCCTGCTGTAGACATACCCTGCATCTCCTGCAGCCTCAAGTACATTGTAACTTGTTGTTTTTGATCTGTAGTTTTTGTTATGCCTATTTCTAAGGAGAAGAAATTTGTAAATCTCCTAGTTCAATCTCCAAGTTGGAGTTTTTAAAGACTTGCTAAATTGATTGCATATTTTAAGGTTTTGTGCTAGAGAGCCTTTATAACTTAAAGCATGAAAAGAATTTTGCTAAAAAGGACTGTTTACCAATTTTTTTAAAAGTAATTTTCTTTCTTAATCTAAGTAGTTTGATAATGAAGTGATACTTGCATATTAAGCCATCTACCATTACATTTCTGCATCTGGCACTGAGGTCTAAAATAATTGCTGTGGCCCTCCCCCCACATAAAACTTGGCTGTTGGTAATGCTAACCACAGGATAAGTGTTGAAAAACATAGGTACATGACTTGGATTAAAATACTTTGTCTAAACTGCATCTGTGGTAGTGTGGTATTTAAGTGAACTTGTGAAACAATTTTTGCTTTATACTAGTGTTGCTCTCATTAGAGAAGTATTACCAGTAAATTAATTTTCTGTGTAAAGTTCAGTCACAGGGAATTTAAATAATTGCAAATTCTTGTGTTAGCCTCTTACCTGATAGTCTTTAAATGTTTATGGTTGTAATAGTGAACAATTCATATTACACTTTTAAGAAAAAGTTTATGGCATTATGCACCAGCAAAGAAGAGTGCTACGGAGAAGCATGATGTCTTCACTGTTTTTATCCTACAACCCAAAATGGATGTAATGTAGTCACCCTAGTGCACCAGTGGGTGCATGCTAGTAAGCAGTCATGCTAGTTCAGTATGCCCAGAACTGAACTAAGCCGGTTGTAGCACATCTGTTTTTGGGGTGAAGCCTGCATGGAAAAGCCATTGAGCTTTCTAGTGTGGACCTTTGACAGTATATACGTGCCATCAGGAGCGAGTTGCTGACCATAAATCTCAAAAGTTCTAAAATACCTTTAAACTAAAACATTGTATTTCTATGTTAAAACATCTTATAAACCAATGCGAGTTTGTTTTTGTTTTTTAAAAGAAACTTATTGGAATCCTATAACCAATGTTTTTCACTATATTTTTGCTAGTTGGATTCTTTTCAACAATAAACTTTTGGTTAATCTAATTAAATGATGTGTTTCCTTGAAAATCAGTAGCAGTTGAAATATGTTAGTGTTATAAGTAATTAAATTTATTTTTGTGTGAAGTTTAGAAACCTTTTCCTAGTAATACTTAAACCCAGCTGTAAATAGTTTATTGAAGTGGTCACTATAAAATGTTCACTGCTGATTTTGTATTTGTAGAGCCAGAATGAAGACTGGGGAGGTTTGTCTGAGGATATCTTATGATTAAGAGCATTCTAAGGCATTAGCCCTTTTGACCCCCATCTAAATTATTGGTAACTACCAAATTTACCATTTTGGTGGCATGGATTAAATGGGTGCTATGCAGAGACTGTTGCACGCGTAATGAAATCCTTGCAAGGATAATAAAGAGAAATAATGGGTGATGGGCTTAACCGTATGCAACATTTGCATGATGGTATTTGGAGAGTGTTTTGAGTGTTCTGTTTTATTTTCCTTTTTATACTAACAGCATCAGTTTGAAGTGCGTGACTTCTGTGGGCTTTGTTTTGGTGTTGGTAATTAAGTGGGTTAATTGAGGCTAGAGAAATGGGTACCAAAACTAATTACTAAATAGATGTTTGGCTTTTATACTTATAATCAACCCACTTAAATATTTATATTTTCTGAAAAATGAGCTTTTACATCTGCTATGCAAAGGAAGTGGGCCCTAATATAGAATGGGTGCTGCTGCAATTGATTGTATATCTAATGCCAGATGCTGCATGACAGAACAAAGCTTATTTGCATATATAGTGCATTGCAACATATTTTTGTGCAGGCCATAAGAGATGAATACATTGTGGCAATACTACAAAGAAAAGGTAAGACTTTCCTTAAAAACAAAGCTAAAACACTAGAGTTGTCCAGTTATAAAAATCTAACTAGGTAGGAGTTATTGTCATTTGTATAACTTAGTTATACAAATATTACATACCGTAACACAAATTATAGTCAATAAATCATCTTTTGCATTTGTTTAGAATAAAAGTAAATAAACTATATTTCACTGACCAAATGAATTCAACTTGGTGAATATATACAGCCAAAATTTTGCAAATATTAAAATTTATCTTTAAGAAAAAAACATTTAATAAATTTGATATTTAAACCACTTTTGATTGTTCATTACTAGTTCTGTTTAGTTATATGGTGTATAATTTCAATGGTTACATTATATATGTGTGATTTTCACCTTTTACAATGTAAACAGTTTCACTGCTGTTCATGTGGTGACTGCAGTAGTCTCAAGAATGTTTGTAAAGTTGTGCCCTCAACGAGCCTGGTCTGCGGTACAAACTTTTACCCTACCTGTGAAGAGCTTGAGTGGTTTTATCTAAAAAATGTAGCTTGAGAGGGTACATTATTGCTCTCTAAATCAGTGTTTTAGATACCCGAAAGGGAGAAGAGCTGCTTAACTGAAAGATGATGTTGACACAGGAACAAATGGGTATACATAACTATAACTTTAGGTTAAAAATTAAAAGACTTCTAATAATCTGAAGAGCAAAATTCTGCTAGTAGGAGTAGTGAGGGTAAAACCTAACTATTTATCAAGGTAAAACTTGATAAATTTAGAAATGGGATAATATTCTTTAGGTATACTGATAGTAGTGTACTGGATTTGATGACTGAGATTCCTCTGAGTCCTATGTTCCTAATGTACTTTCCAGTAACTGTAATGGGCATGATGCTGAATAAGGTTTAGTGGTCACAGCAGACTAGGACACAGTGTTCTCGGCTCAATTTGTCCTGGTCTCTGCTGCCCACTAAATTGCATTCAGCATCTTTTTTTGAAGTGGAGGAGGGGAAAGGAGGAGGGTTCAATATTAGTACGGGAAGAGAGGAATTGATAAGTTTAGAAGATAAAGATAACTGAGTACATATAAACCAAAACAAAAGGAAACAGTACAGAATATAAAGTTGGGATAGGCTTCCTTAAAGAATAAATGTTCATAATTGCTGTTGGGTCTGTTCCCCCCTCCCCCCAAATATTTTAATCTTGTTAATTAGGCAAATAGAACATAGCTGAATTAGAAAGCTTTGCAATATTTTCTTCATGAAAATGTTAAACTCCCATATTTGCTCTGTAGGATGTGCCGTTAGATGAATTCTTGGGACATAATATATTGTTGTAATCTCAGATGTGGCTTTAGAAGTTCAGCTATTCATGAGAGGCTATTTAGGGAAATAATATAGCAGACACAGATATTCACAGGATATGAAGGACATTAATTTGTGGTGTGCTCAAATTGGAAACATTAAAAAATTACTTCTGCCCACACCCCAAGCGAAGTGGGCTTGGAGATGCTTCAAAAAGAAATAATTTCAACCAGGGAACATGTATACAGCCTCTGTGATGCCCCCTGGCTGGAACATTTCAGAACTACTGTGGCTGCATACAGCCCTAACTCTCCAGTCATGGGGGTCAGAAAATGTCTCTTGGTAGTGGGGAAGGAAGCGGATCCCTGCCACCAAGATCAGAACCAGGGATCCTGGTTTTCTCTGATTTTAAAAAAAAATACCCAATTTTTGGGTTAGAAAAATGTGGATTTTAGGTTTACTTTTTTGTGATTAATATGAAACACTACTATATAAACAAATATGTATTGAAGGTGTTTCATTTTGATCTCAGAAAAATGTGGATTTAGGGTTACTTCTTTTAACCTGAAAATTGGGGATTTTTTTTATCAGAAAACTAGGATATCTGATTTATAAGTCTATGGCCCCAGTCCCCTTCACCTCTCCGTTGCACACCAGAGTGAGGTAGAGAAAATTGGGACTGAAGACCCCAGCTGCAGAACCCTGAGTGCTGGAGCAACCAGGACCCAAGGGAGCCTAGTGTCTGCAGTCTGGTAGGCTGGCTGTGCAGCCTGGTCTCCCTCCCCTCTGAAGGCCAGGGTTAGGGGGCAAAGCAGAGTAAAATCTGAGTTCTTGAGGAGCTGAGTCCCCATCCCCACGCACATGTAAAAAGAACTGAAATGCTTTAAAATAGTACCTTGTTTTAGAGCATTTTAGCTGCTTTTGTAATGTTTCAAAGCGCATGTACAGTTGTAGAGCTGGCCGTTTGAAGTGTTTCAAAAGTTTTGAAACCTTTCAGTTATTTCAGCCCACAACCTGACAGGTTTCTTAAGCATTTTGTGGTTTCAGTGTTCCTAAAAATCAGAAGTGCCTGAGTGTTAGCTGCCTGAGAGGTAGAAGTGATGAGTTTCCAAGAAGCAGTGTCGGCTGGAGTGTGGAAAAGGTTCAGTACTATTAGGAAACTTTCATTTCCTAGAATTCTGACATGTAAGCAAAGGCAGTCAGTTGCTTGAAGTGAAACTTGTTTGAATCTTGTATTGTTATTGGATGCAAACAAATTTCTGAGTATAGCTTTGAGAACCAGTTGTGAGCCTTGGATGATTTTTCTGTTCCTTGCACATTCTTTTTTCTTTACTGTAACTGCAAAACGTTGGTGTTACCTGATGTGTTTTTAATAGAGTTAAAATAAATAAACATGAAACTTATGTACTTATAAAATGTAATTGTTGTTTTGGACCTGTACTGGGCAGTGAAGTTACAGGCTCTGTTACAAAGCTTGTTCCCATTTGTCTATTCTTCCTAGCATGCATAGTCATTCATGTTCAAGTTAAATAGCACTCTGGATAACCTGAGGTTTTCTCTACAGAGTTATGAATAAGTCAGTATGTGGACACTTTTATTTTGGAATATCTTGTTCCCATTGGGCACGTCCAGATGTGCGTCCATGTTTGGTTCCCTGGGAACAAGTAACAGCAGCTCACTTCTTGCCCCTGGGGAATGCCCATGCCACCTGCGCTTTGAAGCTCGCAGCAAGTTTCCCTGGGTGGCATAGGAGATGGGGTCTCCTATGCCTGGGGTCCTGGGGGCTTCCTAGACCTGCAGCTGTGGTGATCCTGCCAGGCAGAGCCTGGCCAGCAGCTGCATTGCAGCTCTGAGGGGCCTGGCTCCACTTCTTAGCACCACATGCTGCCCGAGCATACGCTGCTTCTGGTTTTTTTCCCCAAGTTTTTCTTGTTCTTGTTGTTGGTTTTTGGGGGGTTTTTTTGTTTGGTTGGTTTTTTTGACCCCTGGATATCCAGGGGTCAAAATGGGGGGAAGGGGAACAGAGCAGCACACGCTAGGCAGCATGCCCTTGCAGTGTGGAGAACTCCAGACTGCGTGATATGTGGAACTGCAAACGTGTTTGCGGCGCCACATATTGCATGCCTGAATTCATCTGGATGCACCCGTTGAGTCTAACCAATGGATTAAGTAGCTTCTTTCTTTAAGTTCATATCCTCACTTATCCTGTGTTGGAGTTTGTCTACATTTGAACGTTAAGTGGAATGAACTTTGTGTTCTAGAGGACTGGCAGGGAGATCTTTGCATACAGAACAGGTATTAGATTCTGTTTTAGCTTACTATGGCCACAATAGCTCTTAGGTTCAAATTCTGATTGGGATCCTGTTGTGCTAGGGGTACTGTGCTAATCACATGGAGACGGTCTACGCCTTGAATTCTAAGGCAGGGGTTGGCAATATTTTTGAGCAGAGTGTCAAAAACAACTGCAACCTTATAAGATGTTAGCCTATCAGGGGTGGACGACAGGGTACCTGTGAGAGGCCTGATCCTTGTACTGGCAAAACGGCCCCATCCCCTTCCCCAAGGTACACATGCTAAGCAAAATGCCCTTGTGTGCCACACTCTAGTACACATGCTGGGAGTTGCCTACCCCTGATTTGGGGTGTAGTTACACAAAGAAGTTACCACAATGTTAGGTGTGAACTTGTTGCACCTCACTTGCTCCTCTGTACTGCCGGCTTTATGCTTTTACCCTATGATAAATATGCAAGAGTTTATTTACTGAGCTACCTGGCACTTACTGTGGAACAAGTGTATAGACACGGGCAGTTATGGCAGAGTATATGATGTGCTACAAGTTTGTATGTCAGTCACCTTGTGACTTGCTTTTATGTCATCATCCATAGTTGTATAGACTAGTTGCATGCATTGTTAGATAACTTAAAGATAAGTTATACATATATTACACACACAAATCCCATTACATGTAATAGAAGTAGTATTTGCATGCCACGGTATCGTTTCAAATAAATGATTCTGACTGGTTAAAATTGTAGTTTCAATTGCAAGTGTGTGTTTTGCCTGAAGCAGAGTTGCACAAGTATTTAAAGGAGTAGTTGTACTACAATTGGCAAGAAAACTGAAGAAAAATGCTGATGCATATGTAGGAACGTTCCTTAGTTGCATTTTTTTTTTTTTTTTTTTTTTTTTTTTTT